ACATTTGAAACAATAAATTTCATGCATATCACGCATGCGTCTAATTTAATATCAAATATTTACTATTTGGACGTGCTCGTTTGTAGGTTAGAAGATACGCGATCGTCGCGTGTAAAGGACGCTTACGTTGATATGTAGGTTAAGTCCGAAAAAAGTAACACCAACAGTAATTGAAAATGCTTTTATTAAGTAAATAATATTATTTTTGCGCAAAACACTTTTGGTTTCGTTATCGAAAATAATTCATAAAATATATAATCGCCTAACATAGGTAATGAAGGCGGTTGTAAAAATACAGACTTTATAGAATCTATGTGTTAATAATGGACTGTTATTTGTGGACATTGTGTAGTATATTTTTGTTTAAAAATGAATCTAAATCCTTAATAATTAAAAATTAAAGTGTTGCATTTATATTAAAAATATATACCAGAAAAGCACTAAACGATTCAAATTATATATATGATAATTAATATTAATGGATTACAATACAGCTAACAGCCAAAAAAAATCTTATGACAAAATTCTGCACATGATAAATTTATGAAATATGTGTGTTAAATATATATGTTTGTGAACGTTATTTAGTATATTACTAGAATAAAAAATTTAAGACACTTTCGTTCTTGAAACAATATTACATTTTTAAAATACATAATATATTTTGCTAAAAGTCGGTCACGTATTATGTAAATAATTAAATAGCAGATTAACTGCACATAATCAGGATTATACGGACTTATCTGATAAATGTTAGAAACATAATATCATAAAATAAGTTATATGTGTCAGTGGACTATGTTATAAACATTGTTTAACACATTTTATTTATTAGTGAATGTTTCACCATCAAAGTTTAAGATACGCGTTTAATTATTTATCTATTATTTTTAATTAACATACAACTATTATCAGTAGGATATTTATAAAGAAGCAAGACTCATTTTGTGATATAAAATTATAAGAACATAATTATATTAAATTTTGTTAAACGTAAAATATTGGATACGCATGATATATGTAAAGTTATTGAATAATAAAAAATATGCAAAAAATAATAATATTCTGAATTGTTGCATATTTTCCTGAAACGATGAAATTATTAATAAATCATTTTTTAATGAATAACTAAGTGAAATAGAATATTTTAATTGCATTTCACGATTACAATCTCACAAAGTGCATGTCACGAGCCAAACGACCGAAAGAAAAAAGCTCTTTTTGAATTATACAGCGTTATGAATGGATACTTATACCTGATAAGAATTGTTATATTGTGTTTTGTGGGTGAATATTAATAAGAAAAAAGTAATAAAGAAGGAGTCTGACCTAATTGTCAGCGATAACCCACGTGTAAAGGAATTGTATGCGATTTTGTAAAGCGCGGCATATTGTTCCGAATCACGCTGAGTTGAGTGAATTCTTCAATTAGCCGAGCCAATTTGTAAGGAGTAGTTTTCTAAAGAGAAATACTGCTGATGGAAATATAAAACTCGATGACTTGAAGTAGAAAATTTTCTTTTAGTCTACTGCTAATAGACTGGTTGCATCGAAAGAAAGTTAATTAACATCGAAATTGTATTGAAGAAATATTCCAATCTTTGTGATAAAATAATTAATACTGAAAAACTAAGATTTACAAAAACCTGAAAATTATTCAATTATATTTGAATTAAATAAAAAAAATCAGACCCAATATTCCCATAATTCTCAGAAACTTGTAATTACAACTTACAACCAGCATTCAAGTTGAAGCAATCTCATTAAAACTTATAACAAGACTGAAAAAAATCGTAAGTACTCTAAGATTATTGAAAATTTCCCCGAAATGGATTAAGAGTAAATCTTTACATTAAATGAGCCAATTTGTTATAAGCAGTTTTCCCAAGAAAAATTCTGCTGATGGAAATATAGAGCTGGATAATTTGAAGTTGAATAGTTTCTTATGTGTTTCCAAAATTGTTCAAAAAATTATGAAATAAATGGAAGTAGAGTTAAACCTGGAATTCATTTGATTGTATCAAAATTATTTCAGATTGCAAGAGTGAAGAGACTTCAATTATAAATAAAAATCTGGAGATTGTATTAAAAAATTATAAAAACAATACAAATGCGGTAACAAAGTAGAAACAATATTCGACAATTACTACAAGACGCATTTATTTTTAATCTTATTACAAGAGCAGAGCAATATTCATTTAAAATGTAAAATTTCATAAAAAGAATAGAAGGTTTGCAGTAAATATTTATTCATTTGTGCAAGAAGTCAACACTCATCACAAAAACTGGCAAAATGATTTAAATGAGAATTAAAACCAGGACTCAGAGAATATTAATATTTTAATAAAAAAATTTCTTGAAAATAAAAAATGAGTTGAGAGCAATATATTTACATTTAATGTAAATATACTGGAAACTATTCCGAATCACTCAGAGCTTTTCAATTATCGGAGTCAGTTTGTAACCAGTTTTCTGAAGAAATACTTTGAGGATGGAAATATACAACTAGATGACTTGAAATAGAATTTTTAACTTACTGTAAATAGAAACAGTCTTTAAAGAGAAAAATATTTTTGCACTAGATTGTAAAAGTATTAAAATATTTCTGGAATGATTAAAGACTTGATAACTTGATATTCTGCAGAAATAAGTTTGTGAAGTTTAGAAAAAAACTATACCATAATTAACTATTATTCATTAATTGCAAAATGTCAATCAATTAGTAGAGTTTGACAAATGTAGAGTTTTCCAAACGACCAAGAATAAGAAATAAAGAATTTTCGGAAAATAAATTTATCCATTATAAATGTAGCTCTTTGAGTGATTAAAAATAAAGAACCATTAAAATAAATAAACAAAAAGTAAAAACATGACAAACTTGTTTTTTGATAATTACAGTGACAGGACTCATAAAGTCGTTAAGTTCCTGTATAAATATTATAAATTGACTTAATAAGGATTTGTAATCTGGAACTTATCAAATGGATACTTGCATAAACATAAACTTTATAATATAAATACATGTTAAAGATATTGGCATTATACCAGCTCGTGATTACAAATATATCTAATGAAAATAAGCAAATGCAAGCATGCTGTTAAAGATTAAATAAATTTCAGATTTCAAAATAAATTTCGTATCTCAGTTCGCAAATTTTGTTACAAATTATATGTAAAGGCAGATAAGAGCTGTCAGAGGCAATGTGGTTTTAAAACGGTGATTAACATACTGATAATGAAAAGTTTCAACCGTGTAATCTTTTAATTTCCGGTACGTTGACAGCGAATATAACGTCATAAAATTTGCTTGGCTTAGGTTATTTGTTCAGTTTATTAATAGACAATTGAGCGGTTTTTGTTGTGCAAAACGGAATTATTAAAAATAGTGTATCTACAGAAAAAGATTTTGTCAAAAAATTAAATGATGAATGGCAATATGTTTTAAATTTATATATCATAACTAAGTGTTAATAATATTATAACATTCATATATTAAAACTAAGTGCAAACATATATGTGAAAAATTAAAATCCGGAATAGTAAGTGGACTGATAGTTGATTAAAATACTCTATTTTAATTCCTATATAATGCATCAAACATTATATGTAACATAAATAATGGTAGAAAAAATAATTATTGAACTATATATTAGATATGCATTAATAATAACTACCTTTAGCTTTAGATTTGACTTTTGAACAAAATTCAATAAAAAACTAAATATTGAAGAAGAAAAATTCATTAAACACTTGCTAAAAGTATTCCTAATTAAATAAATATTAAAATAATATTCAGAATAACATAATGTGAAAGATGGAAAGTTTAATATAAAATAAATCAGCCTCAGTTTATAGAAATAAAGATTCTACACTCTATTTTTGAAAATTACTATATGAAATTTTCTCTAATGTGCAGCACAATTATGACAATTCCTAATAAGCCTTAAATTTTGAACAAAATTCAATAAAAAAAAACAAAATATTGAAAATGAAAGATTCATTAAACACTTGCTAAAAGTATTCCTAATTATATAAATATTAAAATAATATTCAAAATAGCAAAATATGAAAGATAGAAAGTTTAATATAAAATAAATCAGCCTCTAAATTATAGCTTAAAGAAATTAAGTTTCTGAACTCTATATCTGAAAATTATCGCATTGTTCTAGAACTTGTGAATTCAACCAAATTGTGTAGAAATTGATAAATTTTATATCGTACAAAAATTAATTTGGTCTTGGGTTAGATTAAACATGCGTTCTCAACATCAATAATGAACAGATTTTGTATCGTACAAAAAATTATTTAGACTTAAATTAGATTGAATATAATCTAGCTTGCAAAAACTAACTTAAATCACGTTTTAAAACTAAGTTTACTATCTATCGCTGATAAACGTGTGATGTTATAATATAAAAAAAGCTTAAGTAGCTTTTAAAAGTGGCTGTACTAATGATAGTAAATGTGAGTACATACTGTTACTAGTACCTACTGGTAACTAAAAAACATAACTAATCAAATACTGATTAATATACATGTGCAGTAAAATTGTACATCTTAAAGCCACGGTATTTCTATTAATGATAAATGTGTAACGTCAATAATATAGAATAATACTGGTACTAGTACCTACTGTACTAAAAAACATAACTAATCAAATACTGATTAATATACATGTGAAGTAAAATCGTACATCTTAAAGCCACAGTATTTATATTAATGATAAATGTGTAGCGTTAATAATATAGAAATAGAACTTAAATATTTTATTTGGAGTTAAATATATTAATAATATTTTTATTCAAAGTTGAAAGTATTAATAATATTAAAATAGTAAATACCTTTTGTGTAAAATATTATAATATAGTAGTGAAAAACTAAACTTTCGCAAATATGTGCAAATACAGTGCTATACCAACCCAAATGTGTCGTAGATATCCAATAAATAATCATTCGGGCATCGTTTTATGATTATTTCGCAACTTGTGTAAAGTGATAAAATGTTTTGTTGGACTTCCCGCCTAACGACCCTCTTCCGAGGCGATCGTTCCGAGGCGAGAGACCGTTCGCACAGCTTATGCCTATCGTCGACCACAATCAGGCAGACGGGGCCCCGTGACGTGAGCACCCTGAAACTATTGCAGAGGCGAGCATCCAACGTCATGTGAGTATTGATCATTTATCGATTTGAATCGATATGGGAGGCAAATGTATAAGACCTAATTATGTTATAAGCCACTGACCTGCACTAACTGGACAACATACATGCACTTGTAGATGGATATCTACAATAAATTTATCGTTTGCTCTTTGTTTTGAAAAGGAGTTTCTCTTCTATTCATTTATCTGTTCGAATCGCATATACATACAAATTAGGGTGGTCCTTGATATGGACATTTTCGAATTTCATTGCTCCAAATGGCTCAAATGGTTCCAAGTTGATAAAAAACAATTATCTGAAAGTTTTAGCTCTGAATATTATCTTTTAGATAGTGCGCAATTCAATCAAAGTTTTGTATAGGAATAGCATGAAATTTTTTTTTTTAATTTTAAAAATGTTTTTTAGATATATATCGATAATATTTCGCCTTGGGAGCAAGGAAAATCGAAAATGTCCATATTAAGGACCACCCTGATACACATACTGATATAGAGGATAAAACGAGGCTTAAAAGTCCGCGGGTAAGAAAGTCCACCACCGATATCTCAAAAGAAACGAGTAAAGTTAGGAATTTTTAACAACAATATTTGAAAGTAGAAGGAAAAAGTTATATCAGACAGACTGCTCCCCGTGACGTTAGCACCCTGAAACTATTGCAGAGGCGAGCATCCAACGTCATGTGAGTATTGATTATTTATCGATTCGATTCGAATCGATACGGGAGGCAAATGTATAGGTTCTAATTATGTTATAAGCCACTGACCTGCACTAACACATACATGCACTTGTAGATGGATATCTACGTTAAATTAATCGTTTGCTCTTATAGTTTGGATAGTAACTTCTCTTTTATACATGTGTTTGTTTTAATCACATACATATACACATATACTGACATAAAGGATAAAACGAGGCTTGAAGATCCACGGGTAAGAAGGACCAATACCGATACTTAAAAACAAGTTAAGTACAGTAGAACCTTGATTAACCAGACTAATTTTTGTCGATAGGCATTCGGATGATCAAAACTCCGCATAATCGAATGTATAAGGAACAATATTGTGAATATATTAAAAAAAATACATAGATATCAATAAAAATTATATTTATTAAGAAATTGAAACTTCCTTATGTTATGTATGTATGTAGTAAAGTAAAAACTAGTAAATATGAAAATAAATTAAGTCGAAAAAAGCAAATTTATAAGAGATGATTTGATATGAACGAACAAATAGTTAATCCAACTCTGATAATATATATTTCTGGCAAAATACCAGATCAAGATTATATATAATGTTATCTCCGTCAAAAATGTACTCATGATATTAACTTCCCGTAGGATAAGCTATAATAATGGGTCAAAAATCGAAACTAAAAATTTTTGCATATCTTCACATTTCAGAGGTTTCTGAACATTTTGACATACCTCAAAAAAATGGATGTGTGTGTGTGTATAAGTGGAGACTAATTTTTCGTCGACGATTTCTATTGATAGGAAGATGTGCTGATTAGTTTTTGATAATCAGGTTCAGCCGTTCCAAACATACGAGGCATAAAGTGTCAAAAATACCAGTTTTTGAGAGAAAAAAGCATCCGATTTTGATGATTTAAAAAACTTTCTGCTTGTATTGACGAAACGATTGCTTTCGGGGAAAGTTTTTTTTTTAATTTTCAAAGAAAAATTTTGTTTGAATATCGAAAATAATTCGGATTTTAGTTCTAATTTTAGCTAAAGTTCTAACCATCACTTATATATTTATATATTTCAAATGAATAATTTTAACTTTACCTTTAAGTTTATATAATTCTTAAAAATTATTAGAAAATATCATTTTTTTTAAATCCGAACATATATAAACGTTGTCGTCCAGTTTATAAGGTCTTGTATTTTGACTATAAAATAGGAATAATGAAAATTACAGTATTTATAATAATATATTTGAAAACATTTAATATTCTTCGAATATTTTATTACGGAACGGGAAGTTACAGCAATATGCCTTAAGGCACATTGCCATACACCACTAGTTTATATTTTGCATTGATTGAATAATGTAGCTATTATTTTGTGAATTCCTTTTAAAATTGAAAATAAAATATTGTTCGCGCTTTGGCTGACCTATTTTACCTCGCCTATCGTAAAAAAGAAACAGTTGACAAATTTTTGGAAAACAGCAAAAAATACGTCCTTTTTCTGCATTTCTTAAATTATTTTCTAGGTAGGAGTTTTATTGAACCTCGTACTGAACATCAAATGTTTGTTTGATATGTGCTACTTATTGCGATATAATTAGTTCGAATTTCCCAATATAATTGCTCAAAGTCAAATTGGACCTTTATATATAGAATTTTTATTATATATATATATATATATATATATATATATAGAATTTTGCGATATGAGTGGAACGAATATTAAATGATAAATATGAACAATACAACACTCTTGTTTTTACCAAATAAAGTGTGTGTTAAAAATCTGAGTGTTTCATTGTTCATATTTAACATTTAATATATTCATATATCAACATTCCATATATAACCCTTGTGCCGTAAGCGTTTAAAACTACAATATTTATTCACATTTAGTTCACGTAGAATAAAAAAATATTTATTTTTGAGCTTCACAATACAGTATAGTCATGTTTCTGCGTGCATTGTATAAATATATTAAAAACTTCTATTAAATCGTAATTCCGAACTTTATCTTATACAATAATGTAGCTTGATTACCACTGTTTATTATTTCTTTTTCACTATTTTTATGTTTTCCATATACTTCACAGTTCAGGATTCTGCTTTTACCATGTTTTATATATAATGTCTATCAAATATTTTAGTTTATTATTCTGAACGAACTATATAGATAAAATAAAATAATAGAGAATAAACCGAGTTATTAAAAACTAACTAAATTTCGCTCACATATCAAATTTATTCTTCTGTAGCAGCAAACATAAACTGTATTTTTATGAGCTCTCTCGTACGTGAACTTTTTCAAGTTTTAGTTTGTACTTTAGGAAAGTAGGTTACATTAACTTTTGCACATCATGGAACATGTGCAATGCTACAGGGCATATTAGTAACGATAGAATAATATGAAAACCAGATGTAGATGAGATAATAATTTTCTTTTGGCAGGTAACCGATGTTATACGTACACAAAATGTATGTTGAAATATGTATATACTGTTCATTTTCATATCTCTGTTTGAAGAATACGTGATTATAATAAGATAAGAATTTTACAATCGATACTTCTGTATTATCCAAGTATTATATCTTGAATATATTACTGTCTGCATAAAAATCCAATGCACTTGCGAATAGTTTGCTTCAGCCAGAACTTACAGAAAAAAAATATGGTTTTATTTACTCTTGGGCATTAGATTCTTATAGCTCGTTGTATAATAGAGAGACAGTTGATATGCATTTTATAAAATAGATAGAGATTGGAATATAATAAAATGTAAGAGATAACAGAAAATTCTATGAATAATATTAAATTTATTAATGGATTGCTACTGTACGGTTGCACTTACCGACGCTAGAAACTAACCATTGAAGACTAAATTATTATAACCTAATATTTTAAATATTTGAACTAACTATTTTTTATCAATACCATTCGAAATATCATTATTTAGGACGGTTGTGACAGGCATAAAAAACGATAGTCTACACATCATGTTAATCTAGTACACGCTGACTCAAACAATAATGAAAACTGCAATAATGGAAACTTGTTCAAAAAAACATACTTCATCTTTCTCCCTTTGGATCTTTATCTAAAATCAGTATAGTTTAGCTGTTATTTACGCAGTTTCTCTTATATAGTTCAGTCATTTAAGCTTAAATTAGGTAAGAACCTCGGAATTCGAGGTACCCACCTGTAAGTCTGTAAATACCCTAAAATAGCACCCTAAAAGTTGTCTCAAAACCTACATATGGTACGTATTTCCTACTATATGTAGATTTGGATACCACTTTTAGAGTGCTATTTTAGGGTATTTACAGACTTACAGCTGTAAATACCCTAAAATAGCACTCTCTCTCAAGTTGTCTCAAAACCTACATATGGTACGTATATTCTACTATATGTAGGTTTTGAGACAACTTTTAGAGTGCTATTTTAGGATATTTACAGACTTACAGCTGGGTATCTCGAATTCCGAGGTGAACTTACTATAATGACTGGATTATACTCGTATAGAGGCATGAATAAGAATCATTAGTACTTTTACAATCTTGGAATATGATTTACTCGGAACATGACAATTTATATTAGTGTCGATTTAACGAGTAGTACTAAAATTTGCTTATGAATTACGTTCAAAAAGTAAATTAATTATAATAGTAAATATTTTTACAAAAATCCCAAAGTACCTACCAAAACATCGTATACTCTACTCATTATTGTTATTAATTCTTTTTCGACCTGAATGTGTTATATATCCTTCAATATTACATCTCGATATTACCATTTTTATTGACTTAACGGGCGTTGGTCTTCAACCCCTTGCACATTTCATCTTCAATCTTTCACAACTCAGCAAGAAAGTTATTCACATAAAAAGGATGCTCTCGAAAATATCGTCAATATATACGGACATAACAAATCTTATAAGATTCTGTATTTCATTGACCTCTAAATATCCCATATGCCCATATATTAAACAAAGAATTATTGATAGTAAAATGATACATAAATATATAATTAAAACATTTTGGTGTTCATTTATTTGGTAATAAGCTTTGACCTTCGATCATAAATTTAATATTGGGCGTAACTTGCAAGGTCAAGTTTAGATTGCCACGAGCCGAAAGAAATTTCTCATTAAATTATTATAGGCGATTTTATTTATTTCATTCCTAAAACTATGTAACGTAGTTGAAAATTTAGAATCAGTTAATACCACATCAGAACTAATCAATCAAGATGAAAACTGTGTGAGCTAATAGATTTTATGAATCATTTTTATCTCGATAACCGACTATCGGAG